GATTACGGTCACGGGGCTCTAGGCACAATGTAGGGAGACTCGTTGTCAGTTGTCAGGACTTGTCAACACGGTGGTTAGATATAGTGTTTTTGGACATTGTTGATTCCTAGAGACTTTGTTAATAAGTATGTTTAAATAAAGTGTTAAACGCAATGAAATATATTACTTGCGCAGTCTAGTGGAAATTAATCGAAAATCATGGAAGCAAGGTTACAAATCCATTATCATTTGAAGGCAATGTGGCCGAAAATTTTAAAGATTTAAGCAAAGTTTTGAAATATATTTGATGCATCAGGAAAAAGTGGTAAAAGTGATGAAAGTTAAGTGCAATTTTACTCCAATTTAATTGGAGAAGAAGGCATTGAGATTTATAACAGTTTGGAATTAACAGAGGTCCAACAAGGAAAGCTAGCAGATGATATTGGAAGCATTTGGAGTCTTATGGTTACTCCTAGAAAAACCGTGGTTTATGAAAGATATTTGTTTTATAAGCGCAGTCAAAAAGAAGGAGAGCCTTTTGACCACTTTTAAACAGATTTAAAAAATAAAGTAAGAAATTGTGAGTTTCGGTGATTGAAGCATTTTCAAATGGTAAGAGATAGAATGTATATTAGGCACCAATAGTAAGGATGCACAATCAAAGCATGTTAAAAACAATTTAATTTAGATCTGACTAAAGCTATTGAAATATGTAAAATGCATGAAGTATCCCAAGCTCAAATAAAAGAAGTTCAGAACAGCTTAGAGAAGGTGAAAAATTGAATCAATTGGAAGGTAAAGTCAAGCAGGGGCATAATTCAGTCCAAACAGTCAGGGGTGCAAGTTCTTCTAGAGGTGAATTTTAACTGCAGAAACTGTGGGAGTGTCCATGGACCAAGGAGGTGCCAGCATATGGATAAAAAGTGTAGAAAGTGTGGTAAATATGGGCATTTTGATAAAGTGTGTTATCATGGTAGGTTAGTACAGAGAGGTACAAGTGGAAGAAAGTGAAAATAATGAAGTAGAGAATTTCATGATTTCATCAATCACTGTTAATGAAATTAAGAATAAAAATATAAAGACTGGATGGAAAATTTAAAAATTATAAACATTGATATACCTTTTAAAAATAGATACAGGGGCACAGGTTAACATTTTACCCAAGGTTTTTGTTGAAAAAGTTTGCAAAATGAACTGAATTAAAGGAAGAACTAAGGTCATACTTGAGACATTATGGTGGTTTTAAGATCATTTCCTTTGGGTATAATAAAATTGCCTGTAAATATAAAAATATTGATACATTTATTAGATTTTGTTGTTGTAAAGGAGAGAGATCAACACCTATCTTGGGTTTATGTTCTACCATAGAGCTTGATTTAATTAATAAAAATTGATAACATAACACTGCATTCTAAGAAAAATTTTGTAGAAATGAATAAAGATGTTTTTTTAGGTTTAGGTAAATTTCAGAAAAATGTAGTTTAAAGCTTAAAGAAAATGCAGTGCAGTGGCTAGGCCACCTCGTAGAGTGCCACTTTACAATCAAGCCTAAACTTAAGAATCAACTAATCGATCTTGAAAAGCGAGGAATCATAGCAAAGGTTGATGGTCCTACGCAGTGGCTTTAGTAACCTGGTAATTGTTGAGAAAACTGATAAAGTCATTACGTATCTGCCTAGATCCTCGGGACATGAACAAGGCATTGGAACGGGAATTTTGTTATAATACCTACTGTTGATGAGATTCATTCAATGTTACAGGGTAAGTCATTTTTTACAGTTCTAGATTTTAAGGAGGGTTTTTACCAAGTAGAACTGGATGAGCAATCCAGTAATTTATGTGCTTTTGGCACTATATTTGGCACATATAAATTTTGCCGCTGCCATTTGGTCTTAATATAGCTCCTGAATACTTCCAGAAATTAAATTCTGAAAATTTTGCAGATATTCCAGGGTGTATAGTCTACTTCGATGATCTATTAATTTGTGGTGAGTCAATAGAAGAGCATAATAATACACTAAATAAGGTGTTAGATAGGCTGAGAACTAAATGTGAAATTTAACCCAAACAAAATACAATATTGTGTTGAAAGTGTTAGTTACTTGGGTCATATCTTTGATAAAGATGGGATGAGAGCTGACAACAAGACAGTAGAAGCGATAAGAAGATTGAAGGATCCGGAAAATAAATAGAATTACAACAATTTTTGGGTATGGTAAATTATTTAAGGGCATTCATTCCAACTTGTCAGAGATTTTCTACGCCTTAAGAGAACTCTTAAAAAAAAGGAATGCATGGGTATGGACATATCGACATTCTGATGCACTAAATAAAATAAAAAGAGGTAATTATGTCAAGTAGTGTGCTTGCCAATTTTCAATGGAGAAGTTACCAACTGTGATACAGACTGACAGTAGTAGTAATGGCTTGGGGTGCTGTCTCTTACAGAATAACAGACCAGTAGCATTTTGCCTCTAGGGCGCTAACGACAGCAGAGTCAAATATGAGTCAAATTGAAAAGGAGTTCTTGGCAATCCTATATGCATGTAATAAATTTCACAATTTTATCTACGGAAGAAAAGTGCAAATTGATTCTGACCATAAGCCTTTGGAGGCATTAATGCATAAAGGCATTGCGGACATAATGTCACCAAGATTACAAAGGATTAGGGTAAGATTATCTAAATATGGACATAGAGGTAAAATTTAAGCCAGGCAAGTTCATGCATGTGGCGATTTATTATTGAGGAATTTTATAAAAGATGAAGTGGATGATGATAAATTTATTACAGAAATAGTTCATACTATTGACATGACTGATGAGAAGAGAGAGCAATTTAGGACTGAAGTGGATGCTGATGAGGATCTGAAACTAGTAAAGAAATATTGTATACAAGGGTGGCCCAAAACCCTGTCAAGAGTAAGCGATTCAATTAGGTATTATTATTATATAAGAAATGAACTATATTTACTTGAAGGACTAATATTTTACAAAGACAGAGTTGTAGTCCCAAAAGTATTGAGAGAGAGCATGCTAAGATTATTGCATTCTAGTCATTTTGGCATTCAGAAAACCAACAGAGAGCAAGACAGATATTACATTGGCCACAAAATGAACAAAGTATAGAAGACTGGGTAAGAAATTGTAGCAAGTGTGAGATATTTAAAAGTCACAATGCTAAAGAGCCACTATTACTTAGAGAGTGCTCAAGCACCTTTTGAAAAGGTAGCAAGTGATATATTAGATTATGGTGGACAGTCATATCTAGTTCTGATCGATTATTTTTCTAAATGGCTCGATATAGTGAAAATTAATTCAAAAACTTCTCAGGTGGTCATCAAGGAGTTAAAGAAAATTTTTTCAACACACGGAATACCTTACGAAGTCATATCAGATAACATGCCTTATAATTCGTGGCATTGTCAGCAATTTGCTAAAGACTGGGATTTTCGGTTTGTAACGTCCAGTCCCGCTATCCACGGTCTAATGGGCAGCAGAACGAGCCGTTCAAATTGCAAAAAACATGCTTAGAAAGTGTGACGACTTAGATATGGCACTCCTGGAATATCGCAATACTCCAATAAATGGAACAGATAAAACACCGGCCCATTAGTAACTAACAGGGTTCTTAGATCGAAGCTACCATCAAATAAAAAGCACAAAGACATAAATCTAAAGGAAGAGTGGGAGAAACTAGAGGCGAAAAGAAACGAATATAAAAATTATTATGATAGAAACACCAAGGTAAGAAGAGAAATAGTGCCAGGAGAGAATGTAGGTGTCAGAGAGGGTAGAGAATGGAGACCAGGAAAAGTTCTGGAAAAAGTGGATGAGGCACCCAGATATTATTTAGTGCAGAAAGAAAATGGGGAAGTCATCAGGCAGAAACAGTTATCACTTAAGGCCTTCCCTAGTTAAAGCGGAAATTAGGAAGAATACTGATTTTGCACATAATGATAGATCATTAAACTCCTCATCTAGGAATCAGAGTTGTGGAGTAGAGGAACCTTCAACCTCTCAATGAATGCTGAAAATAGAAACTAGCGCTAGACTCAAAGGGCTCCGGTGCGTTTTAAGGATTATCAAATGTAAGGGGAAAGATGTCATATCAGTAGGTTATGATTACGGTCACGGGGCTCTAGGCACAATGTAGGGAGACTCGTTGTCAGTTGTCAGGACTTGTCAACACGGTGGTTAGATATGAGGTTTTTTGGACATTGTTGGATTCCTAGAGACTTTGTTAATAAGTATGTTTAAATAAATGTATTAAACGCAATGAAATATTATTACTTTTTCTCTTCTAATGGTGATGGATTATCGTGTTTTTTTTTTTATTTTTCCTAACTTAAAAAAAGAAGTGGAAAAGTATGATGAAATTGACATTTGGCATAATAAGTGTCATTGTCATTTGTCATTTAATATAACGTGAACTCTTTGATCTTTGAAGATTTTTTCATTTTAAATATCAGAATAATTAACAGCAGATAAATCACTTTTAACGTAAGTAATTTAATTTAGAGACTATAGAAACCATTTAGTTTAAAAAGAATTACCGAAGCCGTGACTTATTTAGCCTTTATATAATTTTAGCATGTCTGGTCGAGAGGGCGGCAAAAAGAAACCATTAAAAGCACCCAAAAAAGATTCAAAAGAATTAGATGATGACGATCTAGCACACAAGCAGAAATTGAAAGAGCAGCAGAAAGCTTTACAAGACGCCAAATCGAAGGCTTCTCAAAAAGGACCTTTAGTGGGAGGTGGTATCAAAAAATCTGGGAAGAAATAGTGTTCATATTTTTTAATAATTTTTTTATTTGATGAAATAAATTTACCTCAAGGAGACAGTGACTAATATACAAGATTTGTAAATATTTTGGTATATTTTATTTTTGAAAACCTTATTTTGATAACCTTTCATATTATTTTATTTACTTGTGCTTATTATGCATCTATAATTATTGGATATACTATACTTTTAGTAGGATTCGGATTTAACCAAATATTCTTTGTGTGAATGACTATATTTAAGTAGATGGGAACAATTACATGCTCTCAGAAGCATGGTCGAGATGTAGTTAAATTAGAAATTAAAAAAATTTCCATTTTTGGCCTGGTTGAGAGGTTAATGAGGGGTAACATTGACTTGATTGTCTAAAAATCTTTCAAAAGAACTTACTAATTTTGACTGAGTGACATGCAGTTTCAATTAATAAATATACCATCAATTTTTTAGCGTAATCAACTTATCTCACTTTATCATATATACATGTCTTAATTAAGAAGGGAGTTATGTTACAAATCACTCTCTTTTTTCGTCATGATGAAGTACTATGAGTAGGGCAAAAAAATGTTTACTATGGCAGTGCTCTTTACTGCCATAGTAAACATCTGTACAGTTAAAAAATTTGTACAATACTCATTCTTTATTAATGAAAGGATTTCGACATCACTCAGGCTTGACAAAGATATATTATATTAGGAACTGTAGTATAGATTTAGAGAGATTAAAAAGTATAAGACAGCAGGATTACTGCTTCACTAAGATGTCTTTTACAACAAACAGGAGAAACTGTGGAGATATTTGTCTCTAGTTACTTGAGTTGTCAGTTTCAGCTGGCACATTGTTGAATGCCATAACTTCAAATAGGCTTGAAGATTTGATTGTGTAGCAGCATCTGGCGAGTGGATAATCTGGGGTTATGCTCAAGCAGCTAATAGATTTTTTAGATCTGACTCCAAGCTCTTGCCTTTGGTTTCATGATGTCTTGCATCAAGAGTGATCTCCAAATATTTTGCAGTATTCTCATGAAGAACCTGGACTTAATTTATTCTGACTGGAGTTTATTATCTCATTTTATTGGTGAAATCAAAATGAAATGATTTGATTTCGTTCTGCATGATTCTCAGTGCTTTATTCCAACTGTTGATCTGATCCAAAGAGTTTTGCAGTTTATGCACTGCTTCTTCATGATAATTTCCAACTGAGGTAATGGCTGTGTCATCAGCGAATCTGGCAATAGTACTTGATTTAGTTCAAGGGTATCTGTAGTATAAGAGTGTATATAATTGGTCCAAAAACACTTCCATGTGGCACACCAGCTCTAATCTATCTCAAATGGAATTATTCTTTCTACTGCTTGATTCTGAAGCATATGTATGATTCTAGGAGTAGGCAGTATTATTCTGATAGGTAATAGAATAGTTTATATATTAATCCTTTATGCCACACCTTGTCAAAAGCTTGGGCCATATCCAGAAAGACGGGGGTATAAACTTTTTCTTCCAGTGCAGTTTCTGTGATTCTGTGCACTTGTTCAAAAGTAGAATGGCTTTCTCTAAATCCCAATTGGTATGCCTGAATTAGATTTCTTACTTGAATTATTGGCTTCAGTTTTTAAGAGGATTTTTGAAATCACAGGAAGAAGGGATATAGGTCTATCTGAGGGTACCTTGTGAGATGGTTTGCTAGGTTTAGCTATCATCATCACTTTCTACACCTTCCAAACATATTTGAGTCTATATGGCATTAAAATGGAGGGTTAATTTTATAACAGTCTCCTTCTCCAACTGCTTTAAAATCTCGCCAGTAATGAGATCGAAGCCAGGTGCATTTTTTGGGTTCATGTTTTTTATTTCTGCCTCTAGTTCTTTATGGGTGATTGGTATCATTTCATCATTTGTTTCAAATGAATATGAAGTCGTATTTTTGAAGTTCTTCAATCATGTGGTAGATATTATCTACATGCTCTGAAAATCTTGTGGCTTTTTGTTCAGGTGCCATGGTTATCCCTAATAGAAGTGGCCTTTTAACCTATTTAGTTACTTTCCACAGGGAGTAATCAGTCATTTTATCAGTGTTTAATTCACCAAAATCTTCCATATGCATTTTTGTTGAATATGCTTGATTTATGTCTTTAGTTTTTGTATGACATTGTTAAAAATAGTCTCTACATGGTTTCTACTCTTTTAGATACAAAAACTTAATGAAAAGTAAATTGTTAAATCATGAGTGTAACCTAAGAATCTACAAAACAGTTATTAGACCAGTATCCACATATAGATGGTGGACTCTATCAAGAGCTGATGAAATCAATTGAGAATATTTGAGTGCAGACTATTAAGAAAGATATTTGAACCAACTTATTGAAGAATCGTTGTTCGTGGGGAATTAAAGGAAATAGACCAAGAGGAAGGCCCCATAAAAGATAAATGGACGATGTAGAGGAGGACCTTCACGACGAACATTAGGCAGTGGAGAAGAAAAGTAATCGACAGGGCAGAATGTTAGGACATACTATGAAAGAAAACTAGAGAAGTGGGCAGAATACTTTGAGGAACTACTGAATCCAGAGGAAAATACCAATTAAATACAATCAGAAACCGGACTGGAGCAAAGCAACAATGAGGCCGAAATAAATGAACCATCAGATCAGGAGAGAGAGAGAGAGAAAATAAAGCAGCTGAAGAAAAACAAGAGTCCAGGAGAAAACAGGATAACAGTAGAAATGTTCAAGAAAGGTGGAAAACAGCAGAATTACCACAAAGCTGGAAAAATGTATCCATATGTCCAATCGTCAAAAAGGGAGATAAAAGCCTAAGCCAAAATTATAGAGGAATTGCTTTATTGGATGTAGCATATAGCATATAAGATATTGGCTTTATTAATAAGACTGAATAACAAAATATGAATCTGAAATAATAGGTGAATACCAGGGAGAGTTTAGAAGAGAAAGGTCTACAATTAATCAGATTTTTACGATGAAACAAATATTGTACAACAGCTACGAATAAAATCTAGGTTTGCACATTCTGTTTATAGACTTTAAGCAGACATACGACTTAATCGATGGAGAAAAATGATCTTAAAAGAAACATTAAATAAACTGATCTTGGAAGGGAGGTTATCAGATACTTTCACGGCAAGGAAAGGATTAAGACAATGAGATCCACTGTCCACAACTACCTTATTCTAAAGTATCCTAGGTCAAGTGGTGTAGAGACAGATGTTATAATATGCTACAAGAGACAATAAGTTATCGCTTTTGCAGACGATATTGCATTGATTACGAGATCAAAATCAGAACTCATAAGAATAATCAAACAGAATGGAAAGAATATTGAAAAAGTTAGGACTATGTATAAATCCCATCTCTTGACAGTGCCTACTAGTTTCTTTTATGATAGCTGCGCTACCTCCATAACGCAAAGTGTACACATTTTCGTAGACGATATCGGTATCAGGATTAGAGTATATAATGGACTAAGGTTAAAAGGAATACAGTGACAAAAACCAATGTAATTAACTTTGACGATACAACCAGAAAAGATATCATTAAAATATAATTTAATAATAAAATAAAGAACATCGGAGAATAACTAGAAGATCCAGAGGAACGAACGAATTTAAAAACCAAGTTAACGAAATGTCCACAAACAATGATTATAGAAGTAACTTAATCAAGCAAAATAAATGGATGACAGAAGTCATCTTAAAATTGATGGAACAATGTCAATTTGGATTGGAAATCAAAATGGAACAGCAGTATGGTATAATTAGACCCAAAACCGGACATCCAAAGTAAAAGTTATTCTCCAACACCAAATTATTCTATATATGCAATAGCCTTCAAGTAAGACTGGGAGCGAAATCAATTTAGATCTTCTATGTTCCTGGCACCAACCATCGCAAGAAGAAAATGCTTTTCGGCGTCAGCTACTGCACTGGGATCAGCTTCGGGATCGTTGAAAACTAGAAGTTTTCTATGAAGAGCATAATTGGCTTACACTTTCCTATACGGTGTAATTTTCCTCTTCTTGTAGATAGCTGATACCCTGGCACATCCTGTAAAGACGTATATTGCAAGGAGTACATCCTTCATATTCTCAATGCTTCGCTGAATGTCAGTAATAGTGTAGACTTTTTCTTGCTGATTGCATTTCTTTGGTACTACCAGTTTCAATTTCTTCTCTGATGGTGCGTGGACAGTCAACAAAACTAGTAGGTCCGTGTCATCACAAGTAACATACGATTTAACGTCTTTCTTAGCTTCAACAAAAGCTGTTAAAACTATTAAAATGTCATCGTCACCCAATGCTTGATGAACTGTGCAACCACATCTTTGGAAGTGTACTGTAAGAAGTGAAATAATGTCCATTTTGTTATTAGCGTTAGCTAAAAATTCCCTATGGTTTATATTTACATGAATTGGGTCTACAACTTTTACTTCAATGCTAGAACGTGCCCTGCCTAGGTGTTCTTCATCTTTTGTATTTCCTTGCTGGTATCCATCAAATACAGTCAGTCACTGTTTCGTAATGAGTAATTACGTAGTACATTTGTAGTAGCCACTGAAGATTTGTTTCGTTTCCTCATCAAGCCAGATTCGTCGAAAAAAGATGGAGGATACGCACATAGTTCATATTGAAATATTTCTTCAAGTCTCTCATCACACCATATTGTGCATACCATCCAACGTAGGAGAGTGTTTGGGTTTATACATACCGTGGTAGTGTTATTTGTCATCGACCTGTAGAGGCTAGGGACTTAACAGCTAACTTTCTTTTGAAGTGTATTTCATTGAATGTTTTGTTTTTCAATGTCTTCCAAAGCCAGGGTTCCGACTTCAAACGCTTTATCACAGTTCAAGTTTTCATTTCCTGCAACCCCTGTTGATAAAGAAGAGAGTGTTTCGGGTGTTTTAGAAAACGGATTGTGTTCTAGCCAAGATATAAAAGTCTGCAAGACCTTGCTTTTTCTTTTTTGTCTTGCATCTCTTAGCTCCACCTCTTCATAGACTCTGCTCACACCAGCGAATTCTTCAATTGCTTTGCACACACTAGAACATGCTGGCATGGGTTTGAGCCAAGTTGC